GGGGCGGGCGGACACTCGTATAGAATTCGAGAAGCAAATTAAATGAGAAACGCGAACGTGACCTATTCGCGCGCTGTGCTCGTGGCTTGGGGGGTACCCAGACGTGGGATTGGACCCCTCCCCCCACCGTCCCCTCCAAGCGCCTCGCTGGACGTGATGCTGCTGCTACTGCTGCCGCTACTCGGAACAAAGAAGTTCATTCGATACCAGGCGGCTGCAGTCCTCACGAGGAGCAGGACGGACTGCCCCCTGCCCCGCGGGCACGGCGTCGACACTCTACACCTCCTGCGCGCTACGCCGCTGAACACCAGGCCGGAGTGCTCAGGGAACACAGGCGACCAGACGTGAAAGGGATCATCCAGAAGGTACGTCCGTCTGCTGTTACGAAATTGCCTAGTTCTGCCAATGCAAGCTCTGATAGCGCCTGGTAGGTAGGCAACATCTTTCATGCAGAGCACGTGTGCACTGCTGGGTGGCCTACCCCATGTTTCGCAGGCGCCGGGCTCCTGTAATTTGCCGAACGAATCTGAGAAAAGCGGACGTACTTTCAGGACGATCCCTAACGCGAAGTACGCTACGTGTGAATATGTTTGGAAGTAGCAACGCCTCGGCCGTCCTGTGCCAAAAGCTCCACAGGATGAGGATACAGGCGACAACTTATACCCGCACCTCTCTATGCATCGGTAACGCTGCCCCGTGTTGCGCCACATATCCTGCCCCGGTGGTGGGCGGGGCGACAACCGGCCTGCAAGAGGCCCCGTGGGCGCTGTGAAATGTTTGCCGATCGGGTAACCATCCGCCCCGGCCGGGCGGTACCAGCGCGCTACCAGCAGGTACTTATTAAAGGTGTAGCCCCCCCCCCCTTGTAGAGCCCCGGCCGACTCCAGCGCAGGACCCAGAGAGCGACCGTGTTGCGCTCGCTCAGCGCCAAGCATGCGCCAACAACCGGCCGGCCCGCACACTGGTCAGCGTCAGCAAGCGCTCAGCAAGCGCGCGGGGAAGTCAACTGCATGCGTATTACACCGTACAGTAGTGGGCCGGGCCCAGGTCGGGGCCGGCCGCCACCCGACGGGTCTTTAGATTCTGCGCACTGCATAAACACAGCCTGCCACGGGATACAGACGACGGAGCGCCACGATATGCTGGGTGGGGGGATCATCCAGAAAGTTCGTCCGTCATTCGTCGTTACGAACCCTCCAAATGCAAGCTCTCATGGCGCCTGATGGGTAGGCACAATCTTGCATGCAGTGCATGCGTGTATTGCGGGGTGGCCTACCCCGCATTTTGCAGGCGCCGAGCTTCTGTAGTTTGCAGGATGATTTTGAGAGGCACGGACGTACTTTCTGGACGATCCCTGAGTCACGGGCGCATCCCCAGGCCACAGGCTCGTACGACGGGAAGGGGTTGTCGACGTGTTCTGCAATAAGAGCGAGAGAAATAAAAAGGGCGGACATAGTCGCTGTCAGCATGTCGTCTTTATTGGCTCCATGTCGCGCCCGGGAAGGTGAACAAGGCCCGCGTGAAAAGAAAAACGCGTCACTCGCGGGGGTGTGCCGCAGGCGCTCCGGTCAGTCACCGGTCCCTGGTTCAATTCAAAACCCCGAACGTAAGCAAGGCGTTTTTGTACAGTTTTTTCCTCGCGAAAACTTTCCAAACATCCCCGTGCGCACCCACTCTCATGACGTCTTGTACTTGTCGGCGGCCTTCTCGATGGCGCTGTTGACGGTGCTGGCGAGCTCGTCCTTGGCGTCGGAGCCCCCGGCCGCCCTGCCGGTGATGGCGTCCTCGACGCGCAGCGGGAACGTGTACTTGTGGCGCCAGACGTGCTTGACCAGCTCCACCAGGACGTAGCCGGCGAAGTACATGCTGAACCAGAGCGGCGCGTAATAGAGCTTGCGCCCGATGTTGTAGTGCGTGTACACGCCCTTGTCCAGGTCGTCGTCCGGGTCGGGCAATGGTTCCGGAGGCGGCGGAGGTGGCGGGTACGGACCGTACCCGGTCTGAGGCGGACCGTACGTGTCGGGAGGAGGCGGCCCGTACTGCGGGGGTGGCGGACCGTACGGCCCAGGAGGAGGCGGAGGCCCGTAGCTTGGCGGCGGCGGGGGAGGCGGAGGCCCGTAGCTTGGAGGTGGCGGTCCGTACGACGGGGGCGGCGGTGGAGGTCCGTACGATGGGGGTGGTGGCGGAGGCCCGTACGTCGGAGGCGGTCCGTACCCGTACCCCTGGCTGGGAGGCGCGTCGTAGCCCGAGGGCGGCGCGTCGAAGCCTGAGGGCGGCGCGTCGAACACGGTCCCCGGAGCGTTGTACGCGGTCTGATCCGGTTGCAAGGGCAGCGGGTCGGGGGCGAACGGCGGGAAGCTGTCGTCGTGGTCATGGTCATGTCCACCTGGGTTGCTGCTGCCGCCACCGCCGTTGTTGTTGTTACCGTAGAGCGCACTGGCCGCAGGTTGTGCCCCTGTAAATCGGTCCTGAGCAAGGGACAGCGGCACTGGTCGCGGTGCCTTGAAGCCGCTGGGCGTCTTCTTGGGCGACAGACTGTTCACCTGCAGCGCCAGGTCGTCCGTATCGGGGTCCGAGCTCAGCGCACGTCCGCGCGTCCGCCATCTGCGGGGTCAAGACACGAGTTTAGCTCCTCCACGTCCTCGGCGGCGTCCCGTGGGCGCGCGCTTGAAGTTACTCACTCGGGGTGTTCGCTGGCGAGGGCCGTCTTGGCGTAGCTGGGCGAGACGATGGCCACGGCGGCGGGGTCCGCGTGCGCGGCGGGGCCGGGGGCGGCCCGGGCTGCGGCCGCGGCACACGCCAGGAGGAGGCCCAGGATCATGTCGCGCGCTGCCGGGTCCGGCCGAGACTGACGTCCCCGCCTCCGCGACGTCGCCGATCAGGACACGGCCTCGCACCTCGGCGCTAATCACGGCCCGCTAGATAACTGTGCGCCCCGGGGGGGCCCTGGGGGCGCCGCGGGGCCGGCCGGGGTCCCCCGCGGGGGTCGGGGGGTCCGGCGCGGTCCGGCCGGCCGCCAGCGCCAACGGGACCCGCACTCGCCAGGTAATCGATGAGCCGCTACTGTAAATAGTTACAGCGGGTCGATACACTGCCATGCACCGGGCGCACCGCGGCTCGCTGGATTATGCACAGCCCCGCCCATCACCGGGCTAATAATACGGGGGCGGCGGCGGCAGTCGCGGTTTGGGAGCAGCATGCCCCGCGCGCCCCGCGACCTTCCCCAAGTGCCTCCGCCCGCCCGACCGCCGCGGCGGCACTGCGTATGCAACAGACATGCGGCCGTTCAATTCATCACATTAATTATGTGGGGAAGAGGGGGAGGAGTGCGGAGGAAGAGGGGCGGAAGGGGGCAAAACGGCGCGCGTCACGCACGCCATGCGGGGGCCCCGTGTGTGCGTGCGCGCAGGCGGGGGGCGAGGGTCAGCGGGGGGCCGCGCGGTGGCCCCGCGCACCCAACACAGCAGTCACTCTCATCAAAACGCAAAAACAAAGACAAGTAACATAAAAGCTACTTTTTATTTTGCTTTCTGGTCGAGACTGTCGAAAAAGGCGCATGCAAAACGCAATAATTATAACAATGGCCGTTTCGTCGCTATCGCCGCGCGTTCTTGTTGTTTTCGGGAGGTCAAGGGGTCATGCCCCCCACCCCCCTACCCCAGACCGCCTCGTGGAAGATTATGATGTTCGTGGCGCCCGTTACCTCCAATAACAGCGTTCATGGCACTCTACAAGGACACCCGCGGCTCCGCGGAGCTCCGGCGCCCACCGCGGCCCACGTTTGCTATTGGAATGCAGTTTTATCCGGCGCGGTGCAGAGAGTGGGAGCGAGAGAAAGAGGCTTGTCTTTCTCCGCGCCGCGTCTAGCCAGGAGCAGCCGGCCGTTAAACTCGACTAATGGAATCGAAATTTGCCACTATTTCAATCCGGACAGATCCTCGGCCAGAGCAGTAAATCCGTTCGGCCCGGCGATAAGCCCCGGTCCAAGTGCCGCGAGTCCAGCATCCATGATGAGGGCGGCTGAGGCCTGAGAGAGAGAGAGAGAGAGAGAGAGAGAGAGAGAGAGAGAGAGAGAGAGAGAGAGAGACCCTGCAGACCACGCATCCGCGTGCAACGGTGTGTATGGGGGTATGCGTCGCCGTTCCCGACCTGCACCAGCAGCGCAAAACTGCAATTGTACCGAGCAGCACCTGCACCACATACAACAAAACTGAACTCATAGGCCGGCACCCCCCCCCCCCCCACCACCGACTGCGACGCCCACGAGGTGAAAGAAGGGGAAGGGGGTGGTCGCGGCAACGCGCACTTGTCAACAACATTGTACTGAAGGTGCACGCCGCAGCAGCCACGTCGTCGCCTTGGTCCACACAGCCGCCTTACACTAGTGGTACTAAAATTCCGCGTTATTTCAGCACCCCCACCACCCGCAACCGACCGAGGCGGACGCGCGGGTGGGCGTCCGTCGCTGGCGGCGAAAACATTTAGGAGTAAAATACATCGCATCACAATCATCCTCGCGCCGTGATCCTCGTCATTACGTAATGGGCCCGCCTCCCGCAGGAAAAGAAACGATAGGATGTGAAGAGAAAACACCCAAAACCACACGCACACGCACTCTCCTCTTCTTCGGGGAATGACACGATTTGGCGTCGTTTACATATTATTTCCTCCATATAATTTGACTCATCTCTGCATCCCCGAGTATGTCCGGCCGGACGTGGGGGGGCGTGTAGCCGAGGCGTAGCCTGGCGCCGGGCCGCCGCTCAAGGCACGAGGCCAGATGGGTGGAGCACACTGCGAAAATCACACATAACGCCGCAACATAGTCGTCGGCGAAAATATATATTTGGGATCCCTGGATCGTCGACGGCTCTCGCCAAAGCTGTTTACAAAGTCGGATGAATATTTTCACAGTCCATCAGCGAGTGTCATCGGCGCTCCTTTCGATCGTGTGGGCGCAGGGCGCGCAGCGGCGCTGCAGTCGAAATGGTGTCGTTACTGTTATGGCTGTCGGCCGCCGCTTACCTATAAAAGCGTTGTGGCAGAAAAGGGGGGCCGGGGAGACGGCCGGCCGATTGAGATTGTAAAGCCCTCTACAAATCATCAGAGCCCACAAAACGCTGCTGTGGGTTTAACATTTTCAGGGCGGAATTGGGCTAACATCGAACGGGACCTACAAAATTTTTGTTTTTATGTCCTTGAGTCACAAGCTTCTTCTCCAGCTGTCGAGTGCTTCCCACTCGGCGCGACAGGGTGAGGCGGCGGCAGTCCCGGTGGAGCACATCATCATCGTTCTGGGGTCGCCGTGCGGCGGCGGTGCGTCTCGGCCATGCTGTGACTGCCGGCGACTGCAGCAGAGGGGCCTTGCGGTCGGCGTGGGTACTTGACCTGGGCGCGGGCCGCGGCGTGGCGGGGCGTGGCGGGGCGTGGCGGGGCGTGGCGGGGCGTGGCGTGGCGGGGCGTGGCGGGG